AGAAGTGCCGAACAATTTTTAGTTGCCACTTCTACCATAGAAACTGAGTTTGTTTCCTGTTTTGAGGTCACTACACGAGGTATTTGGTTGAGAAGTTTCATTTCTGGGCTTGGAGTTGTTGAGTCTATCTCTAGGCCAATAAAGTTATATTGTGACAATTCAACTGGTGTATTCTTTGCTAGTGGAAGTCGAAGTAAACACATCGACATTAAATACTTAGCAATAAGGGAGCACGTTAAAGCAAAAGAAGTGCTCATTCAACACATGCATACCGAGTAGATGATTATTGATCCTTTAACAAAAGGCATGCCACCAAAGACGTTCAAGGATCATGTTGTTCAAATGGGACTACATCTCGCTTTGTCACTATGAGAGATAATACTTTCATTCTCTGAAACTTTGTAATTTAGTTTGTTTTCTCTTTTAAGTTGTATATATTTTCGTTGGAGACAAACAAACATTTTGGAGGACCTGGAACAAACATTTGAGGTTTGTTCATAAAGTGATATTCCATATTTAAGCGTTTATTTGGAAAGAGAAAAATTGCATAGTAATACATGGAAGGTAATGCTTGTTTAAAAGGGACTTACCGCTATGATTCATGTAATTTTTCTTTTTCTGATTAAAGATACAGCATATACATCTCCTATGTTCTGGATTATATTATAAAAGTTTGGACCAAGTGGGAGGATGTTAGACTTTTAATTATATAATTTTTATGGTCCTACACTTTTAATATAATTACATTATGGTCCTACATTTTTATGCTGATGTGGATTATAATAAAAGAAATACATACGGTTATGTCTCTTGGGCAGTTGTCTTTGATGGAAAGACAACTGCATTTATAAAGGAGACTTTACAAGTCCCCATTTGATGCAATTTTCATTTTTGATTCCCAAAACCATCGCTCTAAAATTGCAATCAGTGGAAGACTTTGTATTCTGAAAAAGCAAGAAGACTAAACAAAAATTGCTATGGCTAGAGGTTTGTAATTACTTTCGTATATATTCCATGAGTATTTAGATGTTTATAATTGATTGTATTATGAACTTTTATATGAATATTAGAACAGAAATGTATTTACATATTATTGATACTCTTTCAGTCTTTTGTGCTAACTCTATTATGTTGACGTTGGTGTTAGATGGATTAAATGATAACTTTAATGTTATAAGAAAGTGTTTTGTAAATCTAACAACATTGTAACAAAGCTAGGGCAATAATGTATCAACTATAAAAATTTTTAACTTTGAGAATCTATTTTATAAAAATACATGAAAATTGTCATTCAAATGATAGATTCAAAAACATTAAAGATGTCTATGATATTCTTCCTTGCGATAATGGAACGAAGTTTCTATATTACTTCGTTTTCTAATTTCTCCGCATTCAAATAATCAAAATCCAATTTGTCTTTTGTATTAATAATATAAAAAAAAAAAAAAGAAAAATCGATTAATTTCCTATACTGCTGTGTTTTCCACATGGGTTTATATTTTAATTTACTCTCAACAACCGCATGCGTTTGTAGTTTTAATTTCCTATACTGCTGTGTTTTCCACATGCGTTGGATGTTCTTTCTTCGTTATTTCAAGTTCCAGTGTTGAAAAGTCAGCAATTTTATTCCATACGCGTATGACTATTCTCAACTGCCAGTACTCCGTGTTTTCTTTGGGATTTGGAATCTTTATCTTTAGATACTTCAATTTAATTAATTACATTATTATATTAATTATTGATACTCTTTTGTGTTGACATTGTCGATTAAATGGTAACTTTGGTATTATAAGAAAGTGTTTCGTAAATCCAACGACGTTAGGACAAAAGTATACCAGTTATAAAAATTTTAAACTTTGAAAATCTATTAGATAAAAATATGTGAGAATTGTCATTCAAATGATAAATTCAAAAACATTAAAGATGTCTATGATATTCTTCCTTGCGATAATGGAACGAGGTTTCTATGATACTTCGTTTTCTGAAACAAATACCAATATGTGGCCATGCGTTGCAACAGAAACCGACAAATTTGAATTATTCAAGCATCTTTTAAATAAGAAAGGAATGTAACTATTATTCTCTTAAAATCTTATGTTATTAGGAGAATTGTAAATTGCAATTTAATCAGTCAGCGGTGCAATTACAAGTCTAATTATTTTCAGTTCAGGATTAAAAATTAAATTCCAGCAAATTATTTCAAGCAAACATAACTTATAATTTAAATCTAAATTTAGACACAAGCTTTTTCTTTTTTTATCAATAATATTATGCAATAAAACGAATGTGATACGAAAATTGTAATTGGTCCTAAACCATTAAATCCTTACGAATTTATTGCTAAAACTATCTATAAAAAAAATTATCATAAATAGAACATAAGCCATTAAATATTAACAGCTTTATTTAGTTGTAATTTTTGAACGTGATACTAATCATGAATTGATAACAAAGTTGGGTAGATTTAAGTTCTTATGTTCATGATACTAATCATGAATTGATGCCGCATTGACTTATTAAAATATATAGATGGAAAATACAATTTTATAATTCAACTCGATAACTTTACTAACCTTTGAAAACCTTATAAATACAACATGCACGTACCCATTCCAAACAAAATCTCTCTCGACTCTTAGCAAATTAAGCTTCATCTCCATCTTCTCAACTGCACAAACGAACACATAAAAGCAATATGCCTTCCGTTAATAGCTCTCCAATTTCCGGCCAAACTGTTTGTGTTACTGGCGCCGGTGGCTTCATTGCTTCTTGGATTGTTAAGCTTCTACTCGAAAAAGGATACACTGTCAAAGGGACTGTCAGGAATCCTGGTAATTATTACTTTATTAATTGATTTTCAAGTATTAATTCACGATTGTTTGATTTTCTTGGTGAAGTTGTTTCCAGGGAAATTCTGAAAGATTGTGCTATTGTTATGTGTGTTTATGTTATAGATGACCCGAAGAATGATCATTTGAGGGAGCTTGAAGGAGCAAAAGAAAGATTGGTTCTATGCAGAGCTGATCTTCTTGATTGTAAAGGTCTTAAAGAAGCCATTCGTGGGTGTGATGGTGTTTTCCATACTGCTTCGCCTGTGAGCGTGTCCGACGTTCCGGTGAGTTCGTTTATCTTTGCTCAATTTTCTTGTTTCTCGTTGCTGTTTGGTTGGCGGGAAGGTGTTAGAAATATTGGCAAATCAAGAAAGAACTGGTTAAAAGTTTGTATTTAACAACATAAACACAACTCATCGATTAATATATTCTAAAAAAAATCATCTTTCACAAGGTCTTGTAACATAGAATTTTCTAATCGTTATCACTTTGAATACAAAATTTTCTAAATGATATTATTACAAAGAATTTAAAGTTATCCTTAACATTTGATATAACCAGTGCGATGCACTACATTACAAAAAATAAAAAATGTGAAATGAATAGGACAGCAGAATGAAAGTTTTTAAAATATTGGTCGCTGCTTCCTCCAACTAAAGAACAAAGACAAAATTGGTAAATCCATTGACTTCATTTTCAAAAATATTGATTTTGACTAAGTTAATTTTTAATGATGAAGGATAATGTGGAGCCGGCGGTGGTTGGAACAAAAAACGTGATTTATGCAGCCGCCGAGGCTAAAGTCCGCCGCCTGGTGTTCACGTCGACGATTGGTGCTGTTTACATGAACCCCAATCGGAGCCCTGATGTCATTGTAGAAGAGTCATGTTGGAGTGATCTTGACTATTGCAAGGACACTAAGGTAAATTACATATTTATATATTATAAATAATTAAAAGTTGTTTTAATGTGTGTCCTCAAAACACATTTAATAACACTGAAAAAACAAAAAAACAAAAAAAAAAGTTGTATATTAAAGTTTGAATTTTTTTTTTTTTTTTTTTTTAAATCTCTTTATACGTAATATGCTTGGAGATTTCAGTCCTACTTTTATACTGATATACATATTTTTTATTTTTACAGAACTGGTATTGCTATGGAAAAACTGTGGCAGAGCAGGTGGCGTGGGAGGAAACTAAGAAGAGAGGGGTGGATTTGGTGGTGGTGAATCCATCTCTGGTGCTTGGACCGCTGTTGCAACCAACAATCAATGCTAGCATTATTCACATTCTCAAGTATTTAACTGGCTCCGCAAAGACTTATGCTAATTCTGTTCAGGCATATGTTCACGTTAAGGATGTGGCACTTGCCCACATTCTTGTTTACGAGACTCCGGCCGTCTCTGGCCGATACCTCTGTGCGGAAAGCATCCTCCACCGTGGCGAAGTGGTGGAGATTCTGGCCGAGTTCTTCCCTGAATATCCCACCCCCACCAAGTGAGTTTTCCATTATTTTTATAAAATCTATAAAATAATTTTGTTACTTTAAATTTCATTTCAATTTACTAACGAAAATACATTTTCCATTGTGAAATATTGCAGGTGTTCAGATGAGAAGAACCCAAGAGTAAAGCCCTACAAGTTCTCAAACAAAAAGCTGAAGGATTTAGGATTAGAGTTTACCCCGGCGAAACAATGCCTATACGACGCCGTTAAGAGCCTCCAAGAGAAGGGTCACCTATTTATCCCTCCAAGAATGTAAAGTTAAAAAAGTTTTACTTTCGTGCAATAAATTCGGATATTTATTCGTTATTTGGTTTTAACACTTAAGACTAGAAATCGGTTATATTCCTCTTAATGGAAAAAGCTAAAAAATTTGGCTTTTAACTAAAGACTAAAGACTTGTTTATTTGTCTTAGATGACTTCTCAAAATATTCTCTATTCTAAATTTTTAATTCCAATCATATCCCTTAAAACTTTAATCACATTCTTATTTTACTTTAGCTGTAGCGAGTATAAAGGATACACACAATTAAAGAATCAAATATTAATTTGCAAAATTAAAATATTTTTGTTATATTTATCAAATTCATGATTTGTAATACAAAATATAAATATATATCATATTTAACATTAATAAGGATAATTACATTAAAAACAATCAACAGCCTAATGACCGGATGATTTCATGGCCTCCAAAATCAACTTAGTCTGCTCCTTAATCAAATCATTTCGTTCCACAAACAACTGCAACTGAGCAATTTGCAGCTTCTTCCACCAATTCCGCTCTTTTGGCTCCTCCAATCTAGCCATCCCAACACTCTTATCAAACCAAAGCATCTCTTTTTCACTGCTCAGGCTCCCTTTCTTATCATTATCAATATCTATCTTCTCCCTATCCCTAGCTCCATCGTTCAACTCAGCTTTGAAAAGAGCTAAAGACTCACTACTCCCTTCCTTGTTTTGATTCTTTTTGGCTTCTACGTTATACTTTGCCACTGATTCAAGGACACCACTAATACCTCCATTGTCCCATAGCTTTTTAGACAAATCATAAGCATGTCGCTCATAGAGTTTTGAAAAACTCCTATCTTCACCTTTCTTCCATTTGCCAAGATTGTTCTTGAAGAACTTTCTCTTCTTCCCTTGAGCCTTTTCAGTATTGCATTTTCTTTGGGATCCACCTTGGAATTTACGTTTAAATCCCTTTCCACCATGTGAACTGGAACCAGTCATATACACATCAGTATTTGCCTTACTCGCATTAAGGCGATCTTCTTCCAGTTCCAAATGGCGTATGACATCTTCTAAATTTATGATGCCCTCATTGTGGGTAAGGTGTATTTTCATATGTTCCCAATTTTGAGGCAATGATCTTATGACAGCTTGAACCTGTTGTTCATCTGTTAGGACATGACCTGCATCTCTTAACTCACTTATCATGTTTGACAAATGCCGTAAATGTACTCTCATAGTATGTTCAGGCTTTTTCTTATATGTGTCAAACTTGATAGTGAGTGACCGGAGTTTGGTAATGGACGTACCGCCAAACTTTGTAGCAAGTGCGGACCACATGTCCTTTGCTAATTCATAATCCCGGTACTTCTTCATGAGATCATTGTCCATGCTGCTCAACAAAGTAATGCGAGCAGTGGAATTCTTCTTCTTCCATATGTCATAAGCGGCACGGTCTCGTCTATGTTGAGCCGTGACTCCCTCTTCAGGCTCTTCCATGGTTGTAGTAAGAGCTTCAAGAACCTCTTGTTCTTCCAAAACATATTGGATTTTCATGCTCCATATCTCATAATTGTCGCCGTTAAATTTTTCTCCTTTGTTAAGTTCGGCGACAATGTTCTTAGATGCAGATGCCATTTCTAAACAAAATTACACGTTGGATAATGCATGTTATTCAATGCTCGGAACATACATGTTCATTTAATTAATTATACCAATAATAATTGTATATTAGATTTGGAATCAAAAGTTAACAATGTCAACAATCATCATCCAAAATTTCCAATTTCCAATTATCATAGATATAATTAATTGCAATTCTAAAAATATATTTAGACACAATTATATAAATATAAATCAACATCAATTCACATAAAATTTTAAATTTTAATAAACAAAATTAATTTCATTATTTAAATAGAATTCAACTTGTAATAAAATTAAAACAAACAAATTCCAAAACAACAACAACAAAAAATTAAGTGTACAGCCACATTCCTAAAACTGGGAAGGATCTGATAATCCTTATCCTAAGGTCTTTATCTAACTTGTAATTAACCCTAGGTAGGGGAACTCCCAGTTTCTTGTGATCTCGTTTACGAGTGGAGACTCCTATAGATGCCCCAGCTATCCTTTTTACACCCCAATCTATGTACTCCTTGATATAGTTGTTGACCAAACGTCTATAATTTTTATTGTCATCTTTAAAGTTATGAACTTTCAGCTTGGTCCAAACCATATCAAGGAGACCAACGAGATTAGGGTAACCAAAAGTCTCTTTTAGAACTTGGAATTTCGACTCATCTTCCTTTAATCCCCCTATCCAGACAATTTCCTAAATCTTTTCATTCACATGAATGAAATGATTTACGAGTTGCACCAACTCATCCTCTGTGTCTCTTAAAATCAATATGTGAGTTTGTAGAGTTCTAATCATGTTCATAACCCTTTCCCTTTGAGCGGGTGTTCTAGCAACCATTGCACGTCTATAACATAACATTTTTTAGTAACAAATACAAAAAAAAACTATTTATTTATCAAATAAAGGTTGACTATATTTGATAAATAATACACGTGTTTATGGTTCAATAACAAAATTAGACTCATAACAATATACCAAGTATGCATTTTTATTCTTTACAGCAAAAGAAAAAAAATTTACAATACTTCACGCGCCGGCAGAAGCTGTCACGCGCCCCCACGCGCCGCCCAGAAGCGGCAACGCGCCGACAGGATCCCCACGCGCTCCCACTCGCCGGGAGGAGCTTCCACGAGCGCGTCACGCGCTCACACACAATACGGGTCGGGTCAACCCGTTTCACACTAAACCGGGTCTATCCTGACCCGAGTTGACCCGTTCACTTTTCAGGTCGGGTCTTGACCAGGTTTGACTAACCCGTTGACTTTGCGTATCGGGTGTTGATCGGGTTTGACTGACCCGTTTGACTTTACGGGTTGGGTTTGGCTCATTACCGGGTTTGACTAACCCGTTCGGTCATATGGGTCGGGTCCACGGGTCAACTTGACCCATTTATTTATTTGGATTATGGGTTGGGCCAGATAGGAATATAATGGGTTTGAATATGGTTAACACCAAAACAAGATTAGCCCAGTGGTTAGGGTATTGGGCTTCAACTATGGAGACTGGGTTCAAGTCTCACCACCCACGCCTATTTGAATTTTTTTTCAAAAAAAACTAACAGGATAAAAACGACATGTCATTCATAAGGGTGGATCAAAAACGACGTGTCGGTTTGGGTCGTCTTCAACCTCTGTCCGGGTCTGCAACTGGGTACCCGACCCGGAAATCAACCCAATCGAAACCCAAAACTTCAAAGAGGCATATCTAAGTCATTTTAACTCCATTTTTTATGATTCAAAAACCATTTTCTTCATAATTTCATAAGCAATTTAATGGTCTAAGAATCATTACCAAAAAGACAACTTTTTACGTACAAAATTTGGAAAAATCAGAACTGCATTTGAAAAAAAACAATAACATGCTTCAACATTACAGTATGAATTTCAAACAATATGAACCACGGCTCTGATACCAATGTTGGAAATAACATAGAATAACATATATCCTAACATAATCCCAAGATCATAGTCACCATTGCAATCACATTTGTATATAAATGAACTACAATGAATTAACACAGCATAAATACCTCATTTCCTTATCTCTGAAGCAACAAAAGTAATCTGGAAGAAAAGCCACGAATTGTATTTCCGTTTTCCAAATTCTAGAAAGAGAGAGCGTTTTTTCTTTTGTGTTTTTTTTTTAGAGTGACAGTGTAAGTAACTATTTCTAAAAGGAAAAAGTTTTCCTTTTATATGGCAGCGGTTCGTGAGAAACTACCTTTGGCAGTTTCCACTTCTCACGTCCCTCCATCATGGGTGGACTTTATTTAAACAAGATTTAAATAAAAACAAACGGGAACTTATCCAATACAAATCATCCTGAAAAAAGAGACACCATTTCTGCCTCAACCCTGGATTCCAGCTTCAACCAAACCCTCACGAATGTTCATAGGTATGTCAAAAAAGCTTCCTTTTTTACAAATTTTATCATAAAATTCATTTTTTTGCTTCAGATTTGAGTGCCCATTTGGGGATTAGCTGTATATCTTGCAAATGGTTTTTGGATGTTTTGTTTTATTGGTTGTTGCAGGTTTTGTTGGGATTTGGGGATTGGTTTTGGTAGGCATGGTAGATCTCTTTAGTTGGGCTTGGTGATCTAGAATTTGAGTGTTATGTGAAATTTTAGGTTTTGATCTTTGAGATGGGTGATATTGTTGGAAATTTGATGTGGGTTTGGTTGGTTTTTGTGAAATTTAGTGAGAGAAAAGTTGTGTGATTCATTAGAGTTTAATGAATTCATTGCTTCAAGAGAGAATGTAAGGAGAGGGAACGAAAGATTGAAGATTCATTTGCATCTAAAAAAATTTTAAAGCATGATTTTTGTTTTTGTTGTTTAAGCGTAGTATTATTGTAAATTAGTGGAATGTGATTTACTTAGGGAATTACATTAGGTTTTGATGTATGACAGTTGTGAATTTGTTATTTATCAAAGTTTACTTGCATATTCTAAATTTGCTAACTTATACCAAGTGCATAATTGCAAATAATTTAGTATGGTCTAAAGTGTCATTTTCTTGTGGAAGTTGCTGCTATTAGCTACGGATGGTAGATATTTTCATTTGCTGATTTCATCTTCATCTAGTAAATCACTGTCAAATGCCCTACCGACCAGCCTGTCATTTGAGGTAACATTAATTAGATGCCTGACGCAGTAGAATAGGATAAAGACTAGATTCACTCTCAGCCTGGCAACTCGAATATACGAATGCATTAAATAAAATAAAATCTATATCTAACATGGGAAGGCGAGGCTTATTTGATATGTAGGTGAGACAAACAAAGTATAGTTTTTCCATTTCTTCCTTGAAAGACTTTTTTTAGTAATTGATATTTAGATCTCAACTGTCCAACATACTCAGCCTTTTCATCATTGGGATACAATCGAAAATGTTTACCAATCTGTCACAGCCCCATCCAGGAATCCCTATACCATTGGATTCGGGCGCTCCACGAGACTTTGGATCCCAAGAGAAGGATGAATGTTTTCAAAAACTTTTCCTTAAAAATTTATTTATAAAGGATAAGTGAAGAGCAATGCAAATCAAAGTACTAAAGAAAAGTTCTCTAAAAGCATAATTACATAAAATTAAAGTTCTGAAACATAAAGGTTCTGAAAATCCAATCACAAAATCATAGTATCAGAGTATACTACAATTTTACAAATTATGCTGATGATCATGTGTCAATGGCCAAACTAGAGTGTAGAGCATGCTCTGCACGAACCCGATCTGCAATCCTTGGGGAACATAAAACAATAAGTTGGGAGCCCAGTGAGTGGATAATACATTTTATACAAAAATAACTTTGTTTTGAAAACATATATGCATTTCAGGATGCAATATAAACTCATATAACACTCATACACATCATGATCATGCCAAAATCAAATCCATACCACTACTGTAACCATACCAACACTGAATCCATACCACCTCAGTATCTCAGGACTTGTGTCATACCTCCCATAAAAAGATGCCTAATACCAGGGGCGGATCCAACACTTGTTGAGGGTTGCCCATGTCCCACCCTCAATTTAAAAAAAAAAAAAATATATATTAATATGTACAATTTCTGGATTTTGATCTACCTAAAAGAAATATTAATGAACAAAAATGTTAATGTGCAATTAGTTTTTATTTTGGCTCATCCTAACAAAAATTTTTGGATTCACTATTGACTAATACAAACAAGCAGCTAGATACTCATCTAGGCCAATACCCGCCTAGTAAACCATCTCAGGCCAATACCCGCTTGATAATCAATCCCATGCCAATACCTGCTTGATAATCAATCCCACCTAGGCCAATACATGTCTAGTGTAAACATAATCCCACCCAAGCCAATACCTGTTGGGTGTAATCCAGTCTAGAGCTCGTTAGGTGTTCATCCTGTCCCAGTAGGATATCAAAATCGTTCGGTAATATAGACTATCTCAATGTGTGCATGAGGATAGATATAAAATGCTAGCTGAAAAGTGTGATCTCAATCTGAAGGATAAACACATCAACACACATCACATCTGAAAATCCAACACCTCATGGATTATGCATGCTCATATGCCAATACATATACGTAACGAACATGCAAAATATGTACGCAGTGCTTGAAACATCAAAACCAATAATAATGTAAAATATCAATTTACCCCCTATATTATTCATCTATATTTGTCCCAAACATCTAAATCCTACTCAACTCCCTATACTTTCTGAACCCGCCATACTTTGGAGATTTTTCAAAACTCCCTATACCTTTTGATCCTTGCAGTCAATCCGTCGATATAATTTAACCCTATAAAGCTTCAAATAAAGCTTCAAAGCCAAGTCATTTATTCATCCATTTATGCATCTAATGCC